CCTCCGAGGGGGCCGCCGCTGCGGGCGCTCCCGCCGGGCCCGCGGGCCTCGGCGCCCCCGCCCCGGCGACCGCCGCGCGCCTCCGGACCCGCGAGCCGGCGGGGTACCGGTGCTCCAGCGGCCTCTTCAGGTCGACGACGACGACGACGACGACGACGACGACGACGGCGACGACGACGACGACGACGATAACGACGACGATAACGACGAGCACGGCGACGACGACGACGACGATAACGACGACCACGGGCCACGGCGACGACGACGACGACGTCGACGGCGGTGACGACGACGACGACGAGGACGACGACGACGACGACGGCGACGGCGGTGACGACGGCGGCGGCGACGACGACGACGACGACGACGACGAGGACGAGGACGAGGTCGAGGACGAGGTCGACGACGGCAGGGGCGGCGACGACGAGGACGACGACGACGATGACGACGACGGCGACGACGACGACGAGGACGACGGCGACGACGGCGACGACGACGGCGAGGACGACGGCGACGCCGACGGTGGCGACGAGGACGAGGAGAGGACGAGGGCGAGGGCAACGGCGACGGCGACGGCCGCGACGACGACGATCACGACGACGATCACGACGGCGACGGGGGCGACGTCGACGGCGACGGCGACGGCCGCGACGACGACGACGATGTTGAGGCCTGTTGAGGATGATGGAGCCCATGTCCACTATCTCCCGATCCTCTTGGGCGCTGCTTCAGTGGGGGGCGACAACTGGGGGGCGAGGAAATCTGCACTCTTCCTGCGCCCTTTGGGCCCCTGTAGGTGCCCACGAAGCGCGCGAAAAATGCACCTCACTCCACTCCCACCTCTTATCGCCCCCGATTGCGCCACGCCCGATCCTCCGAGTACCAGGATAGAACCGGGTGTGAGATCGTGACCGCGTCTCCTATCTCGAAGCCGTGCGTGGACTCCACCTGTGGGGGAACCAGAAAGCACCGCTACCGTGCAGGCATTTGGTAAAGAACCCCTGGACAGGGAATCTCTGGTGGGGCAACCCAGTGGGACTCCACCCGTGGAATGGCCAGCAGCATCCAGTGCACATTCCCAAGGGCTCCCAACTTCGCGCCTCGCACTGCGCGAAGCGCGAAGTGCGAAGAACTTCGGGCTCTCGAGGGCGCCCTTGATTCCTTAGCCCACGCTGCCCCCACCGTGCCATTACCCCTTGGGCCTCTCCTGGGCTGCGCTCGGACGAGAACTTCGAGGCGAATCCGACCGTGGCGACGAGGGCCTTCCAAGAGGCCCAAAATGCGAAGACGAGGGAAGGGTAGCTGTATCGGTACCTTTCCCGCCCTCCACCTTCGGAGCAAGGCGAATTGAGACAACGGCAACTCAAAGTTGGTGCCCGGACCTCTCCCGGGCTCCAAACGCCCCAATTGTCCGAGCTGCGTTCAGCCGTGGCGACGACGGAGTCCCCCGAAGGCCAACCACCGTACGAGAACTCCGCCTTGCGGGTTCCAGAAACCCTGAGCCAAAGAATGCTGCCATGTCTTGAAGGCGCATCTGTTACAGTCAGAACGGGTATTAAGGACGAGTGCCAAGGACGCAAGACCCTCGGAGGCCGATGTTCGGATTTTTTGGGCGGCGGGCGACCAGCGAAAACGGCAAAGGACGGGCCGCAGAGGCAAGGACTCAAGGGCACCCTGGATGAAGGCGCGCGTCCTTTCTAGACGCGTTGACTGTGCTTCCGCCGACCTCCGCCAGCAGAGGCGGCCTCCTTGTACTTCCACCCACCACCACCAAGCGCACTACACCCAATGATCGTTCGGCACGGCAGGTCTCGTGTGGGGCTCTAAACTACCGCGTGGACGGCGCTGGTATAGGCACTGATCTGAACCAGAAGCCCGACGAAGAGCGAGCCAGGGCAGGTGGGTATCTTCGTGCCCCAGCCTCGCCGCTGGCTTCCGCCGCCCTCCCCCGCTGCCCTTCCCCAGAGGATTCGCTCGGGCATGCCCCTCTACAGAAGGAAATTCTCGAGAATAGTACAAGACATGTCTGGTGACGATTGTTCGTGACTTGTTTGACTATGTTTGAATGTTGTTGTTTGCCTATGTTTTACTTCTCTTCCAAAATCCGCCTGTAGGAGGACGTGCCCGACCTACGCCGAGGAAGAGACGCCAACTTGGCGATCCCTCGAGGGCGAGGCCCCTCCTGGGAGCGCCCCGCCTGCGCTCCCCGCCCCTCTCCCAGGACACGCCTTCCGACCGGACTTCTTCGAGGCAGATCCAACGCTGGCGACGACGGCCTCCACGGGAGGCCCCAAACCTGAAAACGAGGGGCGGGCAGCGGCATCGGTAATCACCCCGCCTTCCTCCCCTGGCACACCCACCTGGCCGGTTCCGGAAAGATCCTTAACGCACACGTGTCGCCGCGCCGCGTGTTCTCGAGGCGCCCAGGTGGTCGACGCCGCCACCACGGCACACCCGCGGCAAGCCCTGCGCCCCGCGACCCGAGGAGACGACGCCAGCACAGCGGCGAGCCCCACGGCAAACCCGCCGCGCCTTCGGTGAAGTTTGCCCCGATGCCCGCGGCGCCCTCCCCAAGACGCAAGGCCGCACGTCGGGACGAACGGCGCGGCGACGCACATGCTGAAGCCTCGCGCATCCTTCCGCCGAGCTTCCGCCGAGCTTCCGCACCGCGGTAGACCTGAGGCAGACCTTGCGCCCGAGGCGGAGTTTGCCCTGGTGGCCGCGGCGCCCTCCCCAAGACGCAAGGCTGCGCGTCTGGACGAACGGCGCGGCATGCTGAAGCCTCGGTGGCTACGGTTCGCAACACATTCACGCAATGATGTGTTCGTGCATACCTGCTCACCCGCAGCAATTCATGCAAATCATGTGCAACCATGAGCTGAAGTGGCAACGATGCTCGGCTCAAGCGTGATACAAACTGTCATAACGTGTGTATGAAATACACGCCCACGTTCACAAACACGCACACACTTACACGTTGTCTTATCACACTCGAGCCGAGCATCGATGCCACTGCAGCTCGTGATTGCACATGATTTGCAGGAGTCTTTTTCTATCACACTTGAGTTTTTTATCACACTTATGGCGGCACCGAAAGGTACCGATACAGCTGCTCCCCAGACCTCTCCCTGGGCGCGTTCTGACAAGGACTTCGAGGCGAATCCAGCGGTGGCGACGAGGGCCTCCAAGGAGGCCCAAAAAGGGGAAACGAGGGAATGGTAGCGGTGTGGGTACCTTTTCCTCCTCTGAGCTTGAGCCGAACTTCCTTCCGCCGAGCTTCCGCCGAGCTTGCGCCCAGCCACCGTCGACGGCGACGACGTCGTCTCCAACCTCTCCCGCTCGACGACGACGACGACGACGCTTCCTTCCGCCGAGCTTCCGCCCAGCCTCCGCCGGCGCCCCGCCACTGCTCTCTTCCTCCGCCCGCCGGCCTCCGCCTGGACCCTTTCTCCGCGCCGGCCCTCCCCGCCGAGGGCGAGGCGCGCCAAGGGCGAGGGCCCCTGCGGGAACGCGCGCGAGGGGGGACCAGGGGACGCATTGGAAGAAGGATCACATAATCATACTGCGAATTACAACAACAACAACAACAACAACAACAACAACAACAGCAACAGCAACAGCAACAGCAACAGCAACAGCAACAACAACCACAACAACAACCACAACAACAACAACAATAAGGAACAACAACGAAGAAGAAAAAGAAACCTGATCAGAAGACGACGTGTAATAATACTTACCATGCTAACAATAAGAATGGCAATGATTCTATTGAAATAATAAGACAAGTCAAACTAAGAATAAGGACACTAACAAGACGAATAAGAAGAAGGCGAACGATAGTATTAATAAGAATACGGATACTAATCATATAAAAAGAATAATAGCAATAATACTATTAACAATAATAATACTAATACTAATGATAATAGTAACAATAATAATAAGAATAATAATAATAAGAAGAAGAAGAAGGAGAAGAAGAAGAAGAAGAAGAAGGGCCACGAGATCTGGGGAGATCTCATGGCCCATGCCGCCGGTGCATCGCAGATGCACCGCCGATGCATCGACGACGTCGGCGATGCATCGGCGACGCTGGCGCGGAGAAGGTCGGACCCCACATCGAGCTGCGCCCCCGATGCAGCGGCGGTGCGGCGCGATCCTCCCGCCCCATCCAGTCGGACCCCATCCAGTCGGTCCCCATTCGGGAGGCCCAAATCGCTCGGGGATCTACTGACCCAGGTCAATGCAAACCCCGGTCAGTCAGGCGTTGCAGGATCCTGCAAGATCCTGCAGGATCCTGCAAGATCCTGCAGGCTAGCCCGGGTCAATGCAACCCTGGTTCTGCAAGATCCTGGAGGATCCAGAGCTCTGGCTGACCCCCGTTTGCAGTGACCCCCGTCCCAAGGATTCCGTACGGAGTGCCAAGGGTTCAGTAGGGAGAGCTCAGGATTCCTTCCGGGGTGCTGAGGATTCCTTCGTGAGTGTTAAGGATTCCGCAAGGATTCCTAGACTTCCAGGGGATTCCGTAGGGATCCCCTAGGGATTCCAAGGAATTCCCTAAGCCCCAAGGACTCCCCAAGGCTCCCGAATCGCCTGGATCTGCGTGGCCCCGGCGGGGTGGTCCTCCGACAGCGACGTCAGCACAGTGCCGCCGCGCGGCGCGGCGTCAGTGCGCCCGCCCCCGCCCTGCCCGAACGCGCCCAGCGCCGAGCCGTAGGCGAACGCCACCGAAGCCCCGACCAAGAGCACGGCCGCTGCTGCGGCAGCGGCCCTCTGCCTGGTGAGCGGGGGGCAGTGATGGAGGGGAGCCAGCGCGGGGTAACATCGAGCCGGAATCGGCGACGCGTTGCCGATAGATGGGCGGTAGGCACCCGACAGCGAAGCCGCACGCTCCTGGGTGGGGTGGGCTAGCAGGCCCCTGTCGGCGATCAGCGGGCGACGAGGGTCGATGCATCCCCCCTGAGCCTTCATTCGGGAAACAAGCAATGACATAAGCAACAATTGGAGGCCCGCGCTGATTTCTCGGATCGGCGTTGGACCCCCGCCCTTCCTGGCGCGAGGGGCGGCGCCAGAAGCGCCGCCATGGGGCTCCAGCGCCGATCCGAGAAATCCGCGCGGACCTCGGAGTTTTTGTGTATATGCCATTCTTCGCTCCCCGATTATCGGGCCGGGCGAAAGGGGGGGATAGCAGAGGGGGAGTGATTTTCCTGGCGCCTCCCGGCGCCGAAAAGCGCCCATGTATCGAGGAATGGGCCCGGCGGCGAGGCCGAAACCAGCTGCACGCAGCAGACTTCGTACCCCCCCTTTCCCTATCCCCCCTTTCGTTCGGCCCGAGATTAAAATCCCCCCCTTCGCTGCCCTTGGGTGAGGCACGAGCCGGGCTCCGGCAGCTCCTTCCGGTTGGTGTCCCTGGCCCAGGGCGTCAACAGGGATCTCTGGGGCGGCCCCGGGCGGCCTCCACAGCAGGAGGAGGAGGAGCAGGAGGAGAAGGAGGAGGGGGGGGAGGAAGACGAGGAGGAGGAGGAGGAGGAGGAGGAGGAGGAGCCCAGGGCCTCCACCTTCCGTAGTATCCGCGTGGACGGTGTGGAAGGTTTGTTGTTATTGCTTGTATTGACGGAGTTTCCATGAGGCTTGTTAAGGTTTTAGCGAGTTTACTTGGATTACATGTAGTTCATTGGGAATATACGATTTTCGCATAACAAGCGCAACGCATGCATGATCAAAAATATCTCAGGTGAAACGCTGATCCTGACGCACCTATCCGCCGACCCCTGCCCCAGCAGAACTACAACACCACCAGCAATCCACCACCATGCCACCACCAGCATACCACCATCAGCATACCACCGCCAGCAACCACCTCGGGCGACGGCGGCGACGGCGACAACAACGAGCTGTTTTTGAAAAGGGGCCAAAGAAGATCAGGGGAAGCCGGAGACTGCTACCACGTTACTGCTGGTACCTCGGGCTGGCCTGAGCATCCACAACGAGCAATATGGTAACCACGGGCCCCCTCGAGCTTCCAATGGGACCCCATCCAAGGTTTTATGGCGGCCCCACCTGTGACAACAGCGGTCTTCGATTAGTGCACCCACCAGGACCAGGATCCCACTACCATCAGCGGGGCTCCCACGAGGCTTTTGGGCATCCGACACCCTGGGCTCTATCAGAGGTTCCACGGCCGTTGTTCCCACCCAAGGGGCACCTATCAGACTCGATGGGGCAAAACTCAAGACGGGGCCTTCAAAACCAGTTATAAAAAGACCTACCTGCCACGGATGTGTCAGGGACTTGCAGAGTCTAGTTGCGAATCATTCGCCGCATGTTTGTCATGAACCGGGTGCTGAGGAAGAGACAGACTGTGACGACAGAAAACGACTCTCATCGGTTGAATTGTTGCCAATACTATATGCCTGGTATATACGCGACGTGGATCACAATCTCTCAGAGGCGCCCGATTTTGCCCCAGCCAGAAATAACAACATAATCAAACGTGCCGATCCTGATATCGCCAGATTCGTGGACCCCTTCTCCGAGGACGGACGGTACCCCTCTTGTGATCCTACTCCTGCTCCGACTCCCGCAATTGAGGGCCACATTCTTTCGCCCTAGCCCCCTGGAGGCCTCCGACGAGAAAGAATACGTTGGACCCTGAGATGTCCTGGCGGTGGGGGTCGGGCCCCAGGGGGCGTATACACACAGACCAGCACATGGGGAGAAAGCACCAGCATGGCCCGTGGGATTTGTTTGTCGTGCACCTGTGACATGCATCTTGGGAGCCCTTCGGGGGCTTTTGCGGGCGTCTAACTTGGGCACTGTTTTGGGTTTCCTGGGGGCCTCCCGACCCTTGGGGGACCTTCCCGGCGGCCTCGTGGACCGTCTTGAAGGCCTTTGTGGCCGTCTAGGAGCAGTCTTGGGCTGTCTTCGAGCGCTCGTGGGCCGTCTGGAGGCCATCTCAGTGCGCTCTTCAGCCATCTTCCACACAACCTGGGGCGTTTTGGAAGCCTCTCGGGCCAGCTTGGGGGCCTCTGGGGGGGTCCGGGGCCCCCTTGTGGGACGTCTTGGGGCGATCTTGAGGGCCTTTTGGGCCGTCTTGGAGGCATCTTGAGATGTCCTGGGGCGATCCTGGGGTTCTCTGATGCCGTCGTGGACGCTTTTCATACCAAAAAGGTAAGATGCAGACACAAATGTACGCTTCCCCAGGGAATTGGAGCGATGTTTGTATCTTGCGGTCCTCATGGGTGTCCTCTTGGAGCCCTCTTGGGGGGTTCGGGGGGCCTCTCGGGCCGTCTAGAAGCCATCTTGGGCGTCTTGGCGCGCTCTTGGACGGTCTCGGAGGCCTCCTGGACCGTCTGGGGAGCGCCTTCGGGCTCTCCGAAAGCGGGGGGGGGAGTTTGGGAAAAGTGCGCCGCCCCAGGGACCCGCGACCCGGTCCCGCGATATACTATACTGTATTTCAATATACGATATTACAAGTATTAGTTATCCTACATCGTA